ACTCAGGACCCATGAATGGAAATATCTATGGCATAGTTGATACTAGAATGGGACATGGGCTTACCAAAGTAAACAGCATCAGTATTTCTTCTAAAAAATGTATAACCCAAAGAGAATTGAGAAAACATATCCAGAATGTAGAACTCTGTATGACAGTGAGGTCGGCCCTCTTCACAGAAAAAAAAAGGGAGTGGAGGGGAGTGAAGGGAAGGGAAGGAAGGAAACTCATAGATCTAAAAGAGACTAAAGACAGCCCTGGCCGAGTAGCTCAGATGGTTAGAGCATCAACCCAATACGCCTAGACTGTAGGTGGCGCATACAAGAATCAACCAACGGGTGCATATGTGAGTGGAACAATAGATGCTTCTCTCTCCTTACCTCTCTCTAAAATCAATAAAAAAGACTAATGACACAATGGCTACATACTGAATTCAATATAAACCTTGATTCAATCTCGATTGAAGGTGGTGGGGTGGGGAGGGGAAAGAGCTAAAAAAAAAGAATGACATTTTTGGGTAGTTGGGTAAATTTAAATGTAGATCGTATATTAGATGATTACTATTGAATTTCACATTTCTCAGATATGGTAAATGGCACTGTAGTTATGTGAGAATATCCTTATTCTTAAGAGATGCCGGTTGAAGTATTTGGTGTGACATGCCATAATGTTTGCAAATTACTTTTCATGATTCAGGAAAAAAAAGTGTACGTGTACGTGTGTGTGTGTGTGTGTGTGTGTGTGTGTGTGTGTGTGTAGACAGCTAAGTACATGTGTCAAAAACTTATCTTATGACTTCAGATGAGATTATGTAGGTATTCATTGCATTAGTATTTCAACCATTTTTGTAGATTTAAAAAAACTTTAAATAAAAAGTTGGAGGGAAAAGTGTAAACAAGTTTGGGGGCATGTATGTAAATTTTACATATTTTAAAGAATAAGTTATATTAACATAGAAAAATCTATCATATTTTAATGAATTAAAGGTAAGAGCTCAGTAACCTTACATTTATAAGCCTTCCTTAATTCATTTCTTTGTGTGGGACTGCTCTACTTTAAAAATAGCTAATGATTCAGAAAACTCAACAGCTAACAAATAGGGCTTAAATCTGAGTCATTTAAAAGTTTAGTCTAAAGAAGGAGAAAGTAAGTTTGCTTGCAATATGTGCAGTATATGTAAAAAAGTTTTTTCATTTAAACAGTTAAGGAAATCCAGAGAGAGATTATGTACTGAGCTTTCACTAAAATTTTCTAAGAAGTCAGGCTGTGATCTTTTCTAGCCAAGTTCACTGCATTAGGAAATAAAAGAAGTAATCAAGATAATAAATATTCTTTTGACTCATGATAATGTAGGAGGGTAGCTGGAAGAATGTGAAGAGTATGAGACTTATTTTAGTAAAATAGCTAGGATGTAAAAACTAAAAAAAGAGATTTACTAAATTATTTAAAGGATGCTATGAAACTACAGGACTCTCAAAGAACAAACTTGATTTTGAAAATGCAAAGAAAAAAGAGCAATGTTGAGTGGTTTAAATAACCACAAGTAATTCATTCCCAAAACGATTGAGGGATAGTAGGTGACAACAGGATATATCATCACTTCCCATTATTAAATTACTTAATATATAGGCTCAGAATCTATTACAAGCCCACAAATTTTTCATAAATTTTGCAAAAACTCATTTGATGTTGACACTTGACCTGGGGCTTTTGATAGTTGTCACTTACCTCATCAGTGACTATATGTTTTACTGCAGAAATATTAATGTGTTTGATTCCAAGATAATGCTACAGATCCTGCTTGGAGGGTCAAATATATTGTAAATGCACTGGATTACCTTACCGAAAATCCTAAGAATTCTGAATACCAAAATATATTTGGTCTAAGGGGTTTAGGGTAAGGAATTATGGAGCTGTAGTACTTCTGTGAGGCCTTTCCTGAATATTCCTCTCTCAGAAGTGCCTTCCTCTGTGCTTCCCTGCATTTTTTAAAACAAACTTTTCCAACATTATAGTAAAGACCATGTATTTTAATGTTTTGACTATTTCCCCAATTATTTTAAGTGCCAGAGAAGTGATCCAATTCTTTTGTCACCTAGCACAATACCTGAGCATCAACTCAGTTCACAATAAATATTAAACAAATATGAAAGGATGAAAAGAAATGCGTAGAGCTCAGAGAGTCAGTTGAGTGGATGAGAAAGCACAAGGTAAATTTTCCTTACTTTCCTTACATTGTGTGTGTGTGTGTGTGTGTGTGTGTGTGTTATTCCTCACCTGAGGATATTTTTTCCATTGATTTTTTTTTTGAGAGAGAAACATTGATGGGAGAGAGACACGTGGATGAGTTGCCTAACCTGCAACCGAGGTACGTGCCCTTGACCGCTTACATTCATTTTGACTGGGCAGACTTACCATTTAACTGTGAAAACCTAAAAATCACACATTGTAAAGTCACAGTATTTATGAATTAAAAACAACAACTTTCAGGGAGCAAGTTAAGGAAGAGGACTATATTTGTATATCTTCTCCATTACACTTTTTACATCTCGTTGATATTTTATCTTTTAAAATGACCTACAATTCATATGCTCAATGTATAATGAATTAAAGCTTTACTAAAAGATAATTCAAAGGAGAAAAAAGAGAGGAGGTATAAAAATTGCAGTGCACATTAAAGACAGTTTAAAATACCAGAGCGATAAAAATAAACAGAAAATTCAAGCACACATCGCAAGGCAACATTGGGAGAAATGGCTGACAAGGTAAGTGGGGGTCAGATCTGAGATACAAATGGGGACATTAAAGAAAGTTTAAATTTGTGCCTTACTATGTTTAAAATAGTTGGTCGCTGGTGACCTCAGCAAGAGAAGTGACAGGGACATATTAAATGTAAGATGCTATGGATGGGGACGTGAACAGGAGATGAAGAAAATGACTCAAAGCAGAGGAAAGGAATGGCAGGGGAGAACACCATTTCTTAAGAACTGGTATAGCTCAAAGAAGCTAGAACAAATCAACACCACTTTCTTTACTGACAGGATCTAGATTTGAGGACCAAAGCAATGACATGGAGACAATTTTACAGCAAAACTGATCTGAATTTACCTACTTTACGCCTATCATGAAATAAACTAAACATCTTTAGTGACTTTAGACAAATTTTCCCTTAAAGTAACCCCTAATTTCCTATTCAGAACCAAGTACCATTCTGAGATATCGCACAGAACATAGAGGGCGTCGGCAGCAGCGGGATGGTGGAGCAGGTGAGCAGGGGTGCCAGACCAGGGCAGGGCACTGGTTGCTGTCATCAGGGCGAGCCTCTGGTGGTGGCTGAAAATTCTTTGCTCTCGCACACCGTGGTCCCACTGGGTGCTCACACCTGCTGCAGATGCCAGCCCTGCTTGCACCTGCAGCCGGCACCACTGCTCAGACCTGCTGCCGGTGCCTGGCACGGGCCCAGATCACCCCTGAGGGCTTCTCCACCTCTCCCTGCTCCTGAGGGGTGATCGGAGCAGCAGCTGATGCTTGCACCTGCTGCTGGCGCCGGCCCCAATCACTCCACGCTGTTAGTGCATGGGAGCCGCGGCAGCAGGAGTGGGCCTGCTGGCAGACAGGGGACCAGGGGCCGTGGTGAGAGGGGCCAGGTGGGGCATGGAGGATGGGCCGAGATCCACCCCTGTGCCCACTACAGCTTTGCGGCCCACAGTTCCTTTCAAGGTGCACAAATTCGTGCACTGGGCTCCTAGTAATAGAATAAATAGACAACCCCCAAACCCAACTACCAATTACATGTATAGAGTATGATACCTAAGATCCAACCTTTTCAAGTGTTTGTACATTACTTGCTATGATTTAGTTTTTGTTACCTTTGCCTCCTCCTACCACTTCTGCCCAGGACAAGATAAAAATCGTGCAACTGATAAAGGATAAAGGACTGTATCATAAGAATATCCACATACATATTACCTTGGCCAGACAATTTTTGTTTGAATTAAATTTGGGAGGTTTGAAATCATTTTAGTAAGTCATGATTACTTTTAAAAGGTAGTATTTTAAAAACAACATGTGCTGACCAAATTATTATAGCTGCAGGGAAAATACTTAATGTATTAGTTTAACAGAGACAAATTTATTTCATCAGTGAGTATAAAGCAGTGTATTCCAAAATAAGTTTATGAGGAGATCAATTCTTCAAAAGATACTGGTCAAACAAATGGGTTGGGGAAATACAATACATTATAACCCTTCTCCCCATTCACAAAACAAACCAACACTTAAGTCTTTAAAACATTTTACAAAAAAAGAAAAAAAGAAATACTTCAACTTTATCTAATCTATCATTTCCCATATTTCTTTGACCAGAATTCCCTACCTTTTGGGGGCAGGGGTAGTAACGGTAGAAAACACAGTTTAGGGAAACACTGCTATATATAGCACTATTTGAAAATGTTACTTCTAAACAGATTTATAATATAGCTAGGACAGAAACTGTGATAATAAATGAGCTTACTAAAACATATGTATTCAAATAACTTGCATTACATGTTTAAAGCAGTTAAACAAAGGGACAATTATAAGATAGATGATTTAATGAAAATAAAAAATTAACGTTTTAGTCAAATCCCTATATTAAATGCTAATTTCTCTGTACCAGCAATTATTTTGTGATATCATTTCCTCCCCCAATACTAAGGGCAGTCTTTCAATATTAAAACTAAAGTTCTCCTAGAAATTGGGTGGTTCAGAAGATAGCGGGGAAGCAAGGTTTGTGAATCTAATTGTTTAAAAGTCCTTTGTGCCTTTGATCCTCTTTATACAACAGTGCACTAACTATTTGGAAGGGAAAAATACTTTTAACATGTGGATTCTTGTATTATATTTTGCTAGACTTCTGGACCATTTTGTTTTGATGTCAACATAATTCTGGGGGTGGAGAGGGATTGAATAACTAACACTCCCCAAAAAGAGAGGGACTACAGCAGTTTTAGAAAGCACTTACTTAATCATTTCAAAAAGCTTTGGATCTGAGACCTTGATATTTCGTGCCATATTCCAGGAAAGATGAACCATGGGTACTATTGACTTCACACTTTGCAATTTGTTCCATTCGTACCGTTCCACTGCCAACTTATACTGGCAGGCTAGGAAAAAAAAAACAGTTATAAAGTAACCCAAAGTACCAAAATTTATGAAGATAACCATTATCACCTTCTCGGGTGATATCAACACCAATTCTGAAAACCTCAAAATATTACAAAAATAACTTTTATGTTTTTGATAATATGGTAATAATAGCAATCATGTAAACAGTGCTCATTCTATGTGCCAGGCATTGTGCTGAGCTATTTTAATGCATTATTTCATTTAATCTATAGTATCACCTTTTTAAATTTATTATTCCCATTATACAAATGAAGAAATTGAAGCCCAGAGAGGTTATATAACTTGCCCAAAGTTGCAAGAGCCAGGTCCTGGTCCTAATCCAGGTCTATCTGGCTCCAAAAGCCATATTATTCATCTTAACTATCCACTGCCTGAAGGCAGGCAGAATCCAAATGGGTTTTGACATAATAGGGCTATTCATAATACCAGACAGAAGAAAAATTTGAAAGACTGAGTAACTACTCTACTTTACTTTCTCCCATACGGGGTTTCCTTTATAAAACAAAACTAAGCACTCTATCGCATGGAGGAAAGCCACCACTGATCACAAATACCCATTTTAAACTATTATAATGAGGAATAAGAAAAGTCTATTGTTTCTTAAAATATATATATTTTTCCTTGTATGTAAAGATATACATTTGTTTTTGCTGAGATCTATAGTCTTGGATTTCTATTTGTTACCTTGAATTTAATTTTTTGTACTACAAATTAAATTTTTATTCAAGGAGACATTTTTCTTCCAATTTTTAGTGGGGTATATTCCAAGAAGAAGAAAAAAAGAACTATCAAATACAATCCCTTATAAATTAAACATTTTTTTTAGCATAATCTTTAAAATACCTGTAAGTGGACCAACATTCCAAGCAATATTGTTGCACCAGCCAATAGCCTGAACCCAATGAACAGTGCCTGCATTTATCCAGACCAAATCTCCAGGTCGCTGAATAAACCTATACACTGGAACATTTGCTTCATAAAGGTCTTCAAGGTTGGGCCACCAAGAACCCATTAGGAAATTCAAATTATTTCTGAAATAAGAAAAAATAATGCAAATGTATCAAGTACTTTAATAAGCTCCTTATAAGACTAGAAGACAAATGTCAGAAGTTTTAAAAATATGTTCATTCATTGCATTGAAAAGTAATGGCTTGTGCAGTAAGAACTGCTATCTGTACAGGGGGTAAAATTAATTACAGTTAATTTTTGGATGACTTAACCAAAGATCAGTACTACTATCTTAAGATGATGTTTTTAAAGATCCAAATGAAATCCAAAGCTACCTTTAAGCAACACTTATACACATTAATTTTTAATTTCACTTCTCTAAAGGCTATTTTGATTGAACCCTTCTCCCTGGAGTATTGAGAAATCTCTAAAAGGTAAATAGAAGGTGGAGCTGACATCAAGTCATTTAAATCCATAAACAGAAACACTATGACAAATAAAGTACTAGGAACTTCTATTTCCGAGGTAAGTGAAAAACAGAGGTTATCTCTAGCTTTCTCAGTTTTTACTAAAAACTGGGTGACTATGCAAAATGAACGATCTCACCCATGTACAATCACACATATGCACAAATAACCATCACTGCTACCATCACCAGTATACTTTGGAAACATTTCTACAGATCATATTACCATGCTTATATTTTAAAATCCAGCTTCTTATTCTACTTCATCATGATATAATATGAAGTACTTTTTAAACTACATAAACAACTTTTCCTACAAAAGAATTTTTAAAAATTCAATTTACTACTTTAAATTTCATTTTGGGGAATGAAAAACTTCCAGAGTGGAAATCTTCCTTTCCTTAATATCTAAGATATAGCCTTGTCTTTATTTCTGTGTCTTATGCTAAAAGATATGGTAAAATGTACCTTTAAATTATTTTCATTGGTTTAAATTTCATTTTTATTTTTTTATATCAAGGACTGGCAAATCCAGCCCATTGCCTGTATTCATAAATTAAATTTTTAATTAAAAAAGAGCCTTGACCTTTCATTTACATATTGTGTGACTGTTTATGTGCTATAATGACATGGTTGTAACAGACCGTACGACCTGCAAAGCCTAAAATATTTATTATTTGGAAAGCTTACCAACCTACAATCTGAGGTAATCTCAATCTTACTTTTTTCCTAAAAACAAGCAAACAAACAAAGAAAAAACACAAATGCAAGGCTGCTCTTGAAAGTCTAGAACAGACTGCCAATGATGGTGACCTAATTGCAAGGAGACAAGAATTGGCTTACTGTTTATGATAAGGCTATGTAGATACAACTCAAAAAAATTTGCCTGTAAAGCAAAATATGGCTATAAACACAAATCCTAGCTCTACTTTATCCACGTGTTGCCATCCAAAAGCAAGCAAGCAATCAAGACCACCAAATTATCAACTAAGTAAAAAAAAAAAAAAAAGACACCCTCAAACTTACAAACCAGGAAGCATCCTTTTTATCATTTATTCAAATGAATGGCTATTTCAAGACAGATATTATTTAAAGTAAAAAAAAAACAAACAAACTACAGACAAGGTCAATACCAGTCAGTTCCAAATAATCCTTATGTAAAACAAAATTATATTGAAATGCTAAGGAGGCAAGTGCTATTTCTGCCACTTAGTTAAATTTACCTAACTATTTATACTAACTCGATATTTTTATTATTCCCCAAGTTCAAATTCTTTAGACATCATCTGGCTATTCTAATTATCTTTGTTCCCAGGTTACCTCTCCATTTAGATAGGAAACTAAATCCTAAAAATAGCTAATCCCTACTCAAAAATAATGAACATGAATCACTGTACTGTAGCTGCAACAATATACTACTATCTCAAAATGTGAGAAATAAAAATCTTTCTGTAGCACAACGGAGATTTCCTACACGATACTGTTCTATCTCTGCTACTACCAGGTTGTTGGTCCATAAAAGTAAATCAGATTAAACTAGGTTATTTCATCAAAGGATTTGGAACTTTAAAATTCCACATCTTTGGCTTTCTTACACTGAAAGAAACCTATATGGTTAAATAGCAAAGACAACATATATAAATATATACATGTATATGGATGTGTGTGTATGTGTGTGTGTATATGAAATTTTGGATTAAAATGTCTTTTTGCAACCATATTTACATTTCTTACTAAATTTGGGTATTTACAGAAAAGATTCTTTAACCCCAAATTAAGAAATTATAGTATGTAGAATGTGTACATAGTTTCCAAAATCTCTCATATATAAATGTTTTTAGTGGTTCTCCCCCACCTCCGCCTTTATTTTATTGGAGTGAGGGGATTAATACCAAATGTATGTATAATTTATGTTAACCAAAATAATTTTCTAATGTTATTAGTAATTAGAAATATTAGGTGCTTGCACAATGCAGTACTTTTTTGAAAAAACAAAGTTTCCATTTAAACAAACATTTCAATTTAAATCAATGAAAACACTTCCAAGATACCCTTTAACACAAGATAAATGAAGACTATTTCTAGGATTCTAGGAAAAGAACACTTCCATGAGATGAGTTCTTTCAATAATACAAAACAAAATCTGAAACAGTTGATTAAATTTTATAATATTCTTTTCTCGAAAAAGTTGCCAGAGTAGTTTTAAAAAGAATTTATATTATAATGACATAGCAAAGAGTACTGTGTTGAAGTTTGAGTTATTAACAATCTATAAGGGTGTTCAATTATAAAATTTCTTCCACTTCTAAAACCATTTACAATAAAACAATTTTTCTTGGAATTCAGACCTTTCACATGAACAAATACTTATGTATCAACTGTTTAATTAACCTAATAACCAAGTTTTCTTTCCTTTAAATTCAAGGCTATTACTATTGCATGAAGTAGTTTCAAGGCATTTTCTTAAAGTATTCCCAGTTACACAAAAACAATGGGTTTGGAATCAAATCGTGTTAAATGAAGCTTCTGCTGAATGGTAAGAGAAAATTGGTTATGACATCCAGCTTTAGTAAGTTGTCCTTCACAATTACTGTTTTTGAATAATTATGTTTAAAGAATATTTAGATTGGAAACCTACTTTTCACAGAAATCATTCAGAACACCCCAGTAACCTTCAGGAACAACGAACCATTCACAATCACCTGGACCAATATTGATATTTACTGAACAGAAGTTGTTATTTTCTTGATGACCTAAAATGTGAAAAAAAAAAAAAGATCAGCATACTATAAATTCTATAGAAAAATGTATCTTTAGAAATGAAACCTTAGAAATGTTCAACAGAGAATGCTCTAATGGTATTATTTTTGCTTTTTAAATTGATTTGAGAGAGAGAAAAGCATCGATTTATTGTTCCACTTATTTATGCATTCGTTGGTTGATTTTTTTTTTAATATATATTTTTATTGATTTCAGAGAGGAAGGGAGAGGGAAATAGAAACATCAATGATGAGAGACAATCATTGATCGGCAGCCTCCTGCATGCCTCCTAATAGGGATTGAGCCCACAACCCAGGCATGTGCCCTTGACCAGAATCAAACCTGGGACCCCTCAGTCCACAGGCTGACACTCCATCCACTGAACCAAAGCAGCTAGGGCTCATTGGTTGATTCTTGTATGTGCCCTGACCAGGGATTGAACCCACAATCTTGGTGCATTGGGACAACACTCTAACCAACTGAGCTACCTGGCCAGGGCCTGTTAGTATTTTTGATAGTGTCCCACAGGATTCTTAAGCTCTGTTCATTTTTCTTCATTTTGTTTTCTCCTTAGAATAGTTTCTTTTGACATATGTACGTTTACTGATTTATTTATTTTTTTTAGCCTGCTCAAATCTACTGTTGAAACCCACTAGGGACTTTTTTGTTTCAGTTATTATACTTTCAGCTTCAAAATTTTTTGCCTTTCTTATTATAATTTGTCTCTTTATTGATAATCTCTATGAGCCATTGTTTCCATTGGTTCTTGTCCATGGTTTCTTTTAGCTCTTTAAACATCTTTAAGACAGCTGTAAACATCTTTAAGACAGCTGATTTAAAGAGTCTAGTAAGTATAATGTCTGTACTTTTTCAGGAATAGTTTTTGTCAACATTTCTTTCTTAATGCCTTTCTCTTTGTTGCTTGCTTTCTTTCAGGTTTTTTTTTTTCCTGACTGGAAGAAACTAAGACATTGCCCAAAAAATGAAAACTGAAGAAGTTTGTCACTAGTCAATCTGCCCTATAAGAGATGGTAGAGTTTTTTAGGCTGAAATGAAAAAAACACTAGATAGTAACTCAAAGCTCTGAGATATGAAGAACTAAAGTAAAGGTAAGTACATAAGAGGGAAGACTCACACTTTCCAATTTTGAAACTTAACCTCAAAAGGCAATAGTAATAAAACCAGTGTGGTACTGACATAAGGACAGAGATATAAATCAATGGAACAGAATCAAGATTCCAAAAATAAATCCATACATACGTTATATCTATGCTCATTTCATTTTCAACAAGGGTGCCAAGACCATTTAATAGAGAAAGGATTATAGTCTTTCTGACAAATGGGACAATTGGGTAGCCATATGTAACAGAATGAAATTAGACCCTTAACTGATACCATGTACAAAAATCAACTTAAAATGGATCAAAGATCTAAATATAAGAGCTAGAACTATAAACATTCTAAGAAAATATTGGGGTAAATCTTTTCCGACCCTGGATTTGGCAATGGCTTCCTGTATATGACACCAAAAGCATATGGAGGTGGAGGGGGGGGGAGGGATGGGTGAAAAATACAGCATAGAGAACCACCTATCCTATCTAATAAAAGAGAAACATGGTAATTGGCGTACGACCGCTACCCTTCCCATTAGCTAATCAGGGCGATATGCAAATTAACTGCCAGCCAAGATGGCAGCCGGCAGCCAGGCAGCTTAAACTGAACATGAGGCTTGCTTGCTTCAGTGACGGAGGACTGCAACGTTCCCTGCCTGCCTTGCCGGCCTCTGAGCCTGCAGTTTGAAACATAGTTACAAATACAGAAGCTAAAAAAACCCCCAGAAACCAGCTTTCAGCGAGCTGGGATCTCAGAGCTGGAGTTGATACAGTGCTTCGATTATAGAACCTAAACAAACCAGATACCTGCTTTCAGCAGCTGAGGTCTCAGAGCTGGAGCCAGAGCTAAAGCTGGCCCAGAATAAAAAAAGAAAAAAGAAAAAAAGGAGCAGTTGGGAGCTTCAGTCCCAGCCTGAAAACAGCCTTCAGCCCCTCACCCAGACTGGCCAGGCACCCCAGTGGGGACCCCCACCCTGAAGGGTGTGTGACCAGCTGCAAACAGCCATCATCCCCTCATCCAGGCTGGCCAGGCACCCCAGTGGGGACCCCCACCCTGATCCAGGACACCCTTCAGGGCAAACCAGCCGGCCCCCACCCATGTACCAGGCCTCTATCCTATATAGTAAAAGGGTAATATGCCTCCCAGCACCGGGATCAGCAGAGCCGAGAGGCCTCCCGGTACCGGGATCAGCGTGACAGGGGGCGACGCCCAAACCCCCTGATCGCCCTGCGGCTCTGTGTGTGACAGGGTGCGGCGCCCCAACCCCCTGATCGGCCCTGCTCTGTGTGTGACAGGGGGCAGTGCCCCAACTCCCCTATCGGCCCTACTCTGTGAGTGGCAGGGGGGAGCTCCCCAACCCCCTGATCGGCCCTGCTCTGTGCGTGACAGGGGGCAGCACCCCAACCCCCTGATTGGCCCTGCTCTGTGCGTGACAGGGGGTGGCGCTGCAACCTCCCCATGGACCCTGCCTTGAGTGTGACAGGGGCGGTGCCCCAACCCCCCAATCGGCCCTATCCTGAGTGTGACTGAGGGTGGCATCGCAACCTCCCGATCCGTCCTGCTCTGTGCATGACAGGGGGCGGCGACCCAACTCCCCAATCGGCCCTGCTCTGAGCCCGACCAGGGGCTGCACCTAGGGATTGGGCCTGCCCTCTGCCACCCGGGAGCAGGCCTAAGCCAGCAGGTCGTTATCTCCCGAGGGGTCCCAGACTGCAAGAGGGCACAGGCCGGGCTGAGGGACTGCCCTCTCCCCCCCACCCCGAGTGCACAAATTTTTGTGCACCGGGCCTCTAGTCCTATATAATAAAAGGCTAATATGCAAATTGACCAAACGCAACCAGTCGCTATGATGCACATTGACCACCAGGGGGCAGATGCTCAACGCAGGAGCTGTCCCTTGTTGGTCAGTGCACTCCCACAGGGGAGCACAGCTCAGCCAGAAACCCGGCTTAAGGCTAGCGAGTGCAGCGGCGGTGGTGGGAGCCTCCACAACAGTGCTAAGGATGTCCGACTGCCAGGTTAGGCCCGCTCCCCACTGTCAGTTGGACATCCTCCGAGGGCTCCTAGACTTCAAGAGGGTGCAGGCCAGGCTGAGGGAACCCCCCCTTGAGTGCATGAATTTTGTGCACGAGGCCTCTAGCAGTCAGTAATATTTTAATAACTATGTATGGTATCAGATGGGTACGAGATTTATTGGGATGAACACTTAGTAAGTTATATAATGTCTAATCATTGGGGTATACACCTAAAACTAATATTGTATGTCAAATGTAATTGAAAAATAAAAAATTATAAATGTTACAGGGGGAAAAGAAAGAAAGAAGCAGGCACAAAAGCCAACAAATTATGATACCATTTATATGAAATATCCAGAACAGGTCACTATACAAAGCCAGAAAGGAGACTACAGTAAATGCTCACATAACATCATTGATCGGTTCCTAGAACTGCAGCAAAATGATGTATAGCAAAACCAACTTGACCATAGGTTAATTGATATAAACAACAATTATAACAAAATAACACTGAATGAAAGGACTGAGGACCTATGATAGTGGTTGTTGGGGGAGTGACTGCTTAATGGGCATGGGGGTTTCCTTCTGAGCTGATGAAAATGTCTTGGAACTACACAGAGATGAGAGCTATACTGTATAGCACAATGAATAACTAAATGCGACTGAATTACATACTTTGAAAGGGTTAATTTTATGTGAATTTTACCACAATAAAGAAAAATGTAGCTGTGTTCTCACCACACCCTACGCACACCACAACCTGCGTCTTTTTTTACATACACAGTACCATGTGAAAATGGTACTCTTAATATTTACAACTGTCTCTTACCATGGGTAGATGGTTGAAATTGTCCATGGCATGGACTCCAAATAAAATTTAGCTCTAACTAAAATTAGAGATGCTGAGACACCACCAAATAAAAATCTTTCAGGGTAAAACCTAAGAGCATATCTGTAATTTAGAACATACATGACTGATCATAAAGTCCATTAAAGCATAATGTTACATTTATCTATGTAACTCCAGAAACAAGGTGTTTGTCCCATAAAAACGAATTCAAAATAATCTTTTAAAAATTCAAATGAACTAACAGGTTTAAGGATCACTGTACAACATTTCTTCTCTAAGACTGAGTTGTAAAATACAATAACCACTTGAAATGTAGTTAATATAAAATGAGATGTGTAGTAACTGCAAAGTATACAATTTTGAAGACTTAACATAAAAACATGCAAAAATAACCCAATAATGTTTGTATTCATTAGATGTTGAAACAATAGTTGCATATACTGGGTTAAAATTAATTTCACCTATTTCATTTTACATTAATGTGACTACTGTAAAATTTTCAAAAAATATATGACTTGCACTATATTTCTGTTGGATAGTACTAATATCAGTTAAGAGAATTCTTTAGAGAATTCCTTACGTTCCACAGGGCCTTTCTGAAAAACCTAATGCCTTGTATACAAACCAACACAAAACTAAAACAGTCTAGGCACACAGTGACAAAGAAGTAATCTGTCATGTTTGCTATTCCCCTTCATTTGTAAGGAAAAACTTCATTTTTTCTTTGAGGGTATTATTTGCATAAAATAATTCAAATTCTATGAGAGACATTTTCAACTGAAATGAATCTTAATAGAACCAATCCAATAGTACATACATAAAAGAAGGGAACTCCAGTGAGTTCAAATAACTTTCCCAGTATTTACACTGGTGTCTAAAGTGGGGACAGAGTGGAGAGCAGACAGGTCTTCTGCCATTTATTCCAGAACTGTTTCCACTTTACCCAACTATGTATAAACATCATAGAACTGGGCTTACAATGCCTGAGGATAAAAACAACTACAACCTAATGGTTCTAATCTTGGCTATACATTGGAATCCTCTGGAAAACTTTAAAAAAAAATCTCCAGAGAGTAATCAACTATGTATTTTAAAAAGCTTACGAGGAGATTCTAATGAGCAGCCAGGACTGGGACCCACTGACCTGTTACCTAGAAGCAAGTCTATTATGAAACAACTAGAGGCCCAGTGCACGAGATTCTTGCACCCTGGCCTGTGCCCTCTCGCAGTCCGGGAGCCCTCGGGGGATGTCTGACTGATGCAGGCCTAAGTCAGACATTCCCCAAGGGGTCCTTAGCGCTGCTGCGTAGGTAAGAGGGGCTCCCGCCACCGCCACTGCGCTTGCCAGATATGAGTCCAGCTCAGGGCTTCTGACTGAGCAGCACTCCCCCTGTGGGAGCACACTGACCACCAGGGAGTAGCTCTTGCATTGAGCGTCTGCCTCCTGGTGGTCAGTGCACACCATAGTGACCAGTTGTTCTGCCGTTCAGTCAATTTGCATATTAGCCTTTTATTATATAGGAGGATTCTTAAGCTACTATTAAATAAGCAGGTTGCCGAAACCGGTTTGGCTCAGTGGATAGAGCATTGGCCTGCGGACTGAAATGTCCCGGGTTCAGTTCCGGTTAAGGGCATGTACCTGGGTTGCAGGCACATCCCTAGTAGAAGATGTGCAGGAGGCAGCTGATCGATGTTTCTCTCTCATCGATGTTTCTAACTTTCTATCTCTTTCCCTTCCTCTCTGTAAAAAAATCAATAATAAATAAATAAATAAATAAATAAATAAATAAATAGATAGATAAATAAATAAATAAGCAGGTGACAAAGCAGCAGCCTGGTTTTCAAACCATGGCTAATTTAAGTAGCAAACAGAAACAGCTGAGGGTGATATGCAGCTCACAGGCACTGGTACAGTAAACTTGTTACCACCAGTATTTTTCTGAATTGTTAAATATTTTGAACATCACCCTATGAAATTTCATGTCAAAGTAAGGCAGGAGTGGGGAACCTTTTGTCTGCCAAGGATCACTTGGATATTTATAAAATCATTCGTGGGCCATACAAAATTATTAACCTAAAATTAGCCTGCTATATTTGGTTAACATTTAATTAACTGACCCCTAATGCCTATGCAGGGCCAGACCAAATTAAGGCAGCACAGAGAAGATAATACATTAGTGTTGGACAGAATTTTAAGTCTAAAACCAATGTAATTCATTTTACCAATGAAGAAAAAGACCCAGAGAAGGAATGTGATTTGCCAAAAGTGACAAGCTTAGTTAGTGGTAAAGTCCAGACTAGATAATGCCTACACATCATCATGTACTTTGTAAACTGTGCACTGTAATCCAGTTGGACAATTGTAACCTACAGTTTCTTTTTAAAAATGTATTGTTCTATGAAACTACTGTAATATAAAATATACTTCTTATTGTGATTATGGTAGGAAAAACTATATCCCATTACCCTGCAGTAGATGGGATCAACAACAGCCTTTATGCCAGGAATGCTCCAATGACCCCTTTTCCAAAGTAAAATGCTATTGTTTCAGAGCTATTAAAATATAATACAAAGGAGAAAAATCTTAACAATCTGAATCCAGTTAAAGAGTCAATTCTTGTATTAGAAAAAATCCTTTCAGTTTCATTTTCTGTAAATGGAAAAGAATCTGGTTCTCTTTTGCATATTTCACATTCTGATTAATTCTGTTTTTCAATTGTAGAAGATATGTTAGTTCATAAAAGTTACCTGGTGTTCTGCTTCCTGGAACTTTCATATATAGCTGAACTGTGTTCATGCCGAGTATGGTGTGACCAACATGGCTTAGAAGATTTCCTGCTGATACGACACGCACAAAAGCAGGAAGTTTAGTCAACTCATGTAGCTGCAACTTCCACCTGCAATAAAATAACAGATCAAGAGTGAAACTCTGTGACAAGTATTTGTGTAATTAATCATTTCTTCAAAAACCTCGTGCTTCAATCAGAAAACAATCAAAATTATAAATACTTTACTTTCACATAGGAAACACTGGAATGCTTAAATTTTTCTCAAGAAAATTTCCTAACAAAAAGCATAAAAATAATTAAACAAAAGGAAAAGATTTGACTTCTAATTTTTATAATTGTGTAATTACATTCTATAGAATTATATTGTTAATCATAAAGTAGAATGTTATGATTGTCTAATTAGCATACAGTCAGGGTCTTGATGAAAATTTGTAAAAGGGTTACCATTCAAGAAAATACTTTAATTGCAAGACCTAGCAAAAATAATTTAGCTAAATTCTGTATATTAACTTAGAAAAGTGATCTGAAATAAAATAGAAAGTCGTATACAATTGTATACAATTCTCCATCTTTACCTCAGTTCACAAAAGACTACAAAGACTTACTTTTTGTCATCAGACAGGTCAATGTTGGTCCCAAACTTTATGGTTTTAAAGGGTCCTTTCCTCCTCCTCCCAGAACTTAAAAAAGAGAGACAATATTAGAAACATGCATTTTAAACAGAAATATTAAGTGGACAATGAAAAGTAACTTACTTATCTGAAGATGTAGATTCACTATCTGAGTGTTCTTTATGGTGACTTCTTTTCTCATTTTCTTCCTACAGATTAAGGAGAAAGCATTCCAGTTTACTATTCTATAACCAGCTATCCTTTCCATCATACAATTGACAACTTCACATCAAGATTGATAGTCAATGGTATCCAAACTCTTCCATCAGCCACAATGCTATCCTAGTAGTTCTTCCTTATTAGCATTCTTCTATAAGGTGAACAAACTATAGATTCTTATTTCCTGCCCCATTTTTCAAGGAGAGAAAATTTAAGGAAAGTTAAGAGGCCTAAGAAGTATCAATCATGATGACAAAATTTTTAAACTAGCAGAGGTACATGCATGCATGTTTATGTAGCTATCTATAATAATAAAAGCATAATATGCAAATCGACCCAATGGCCAAAAAGCAGAATGACTGTCTGGACAACCTTCTGGACAAAGCCAGGGCTGCAAGGGCAGCTGAGGCAGCCGGGGCTGCAAAGGCCTACCCTTGCACGAATTTCGTGCAGCGGGCCTCTGGTATATGTATAAGGATGGAAGGGAATAACTTCTCTACTCTTGATTATGAACAAAGGTAAAAAGATCTTCCTGGGCCAAATCTTTTTTCCATAATGAATTACATATGAATGATAGAACATTTAAAACATTACTAGGGAAATTAAGTACTGGATAAATATAGGTGCTTTTCCATGTAAATTACTACCATCTACAATTTTTGTATCACAGACATGGTTATCTCTTAACACTCAGTGTCCTATGATTTTTGAGTCAGCAATACTCCATGAAATTTTGGCCTCCCTCCCTTTCAATGTACAGTTTCTAAACATTTGTCAAATTTTTTTTACATGTAATGTGGTCCAGGCCTCCAAATCACACACAAAAAAGCCACCCTTTCTTTGGTTATGGATCCATTCCTACTTACTCTCTGCCTCTTATTATATTTGCTTTTCAACTCTTCCTCCAAATTTCCCTTTGATGATCTCTGAATCCTGCTATTATTATCTACTCTATTCTGATCACATAGTTAAAATATCTCGAAAGTTTGAACTACACAGATTTATATGGACAATGAATTCACTATAACTCCTAAAAGTTACAGGACAGTTTTTATTAGATGAATTTCTTGGTAGGATCTATGGGGAGTGGTAGTAAGAAACACAAGTGTATAATTTATAGGTATAAATGTCGCCTTGATTGAAAATATGAACTCAGGGCAGAATTTAAAACAGATATCAAAAAGTCTAATGAATTACAAATAAAGACTTAGAGGCACATATTAAGTTTCAGCTGCAGGATACGAGTAACACATTTAATAAACTGATTTTGCAGGTCTTTCATGTTTACTTTGTGGGAGAATTTTTAAACTACAGTTCTAAAGGATTTCAGTAATGCTTCATCGCTGAAAGGCCTATGAGTCTTTTCATAATAATCCTCAGATTATTCAAAGTTTTGTTTTTTAGTTTTCCATACATTTTCAAATAATCTATGCATATCTCTCAGTTTTTTCTTTCAGACTGAGACTAGTAACAATAACACTAATGTTTCCTGGAGGAGCTATCAGATAATAAATACTAACCTGTAGAGGAGAAAAATGGGAAGGCACAAGTCTAGAAACTGTGCAAGTATAAAGCAAACTTGAGACTTAGTTAATCCTCTAATATCAATGGTTCTGAATTAGGAGCAATTTTGCCTTCTATAGTATGGCTAAAGACTTTGATTGTCAGAGCTGGCGTTGGGGCTAAGGGGTATGCTAAGATTATCCAAGTAGGGAGAAGCCAGGGATGCTACTAAACATTCTGCAATACAAAAGACAACACCCCACAACTAACAGTTATTGAACCCAAAATGTCAATAATGCCAGGGTTAAGAAACCCTGCTCTAAACAAAAATATCCCAGAGATAAGGAAAATATCTTATAGTAATATTTACTTTATCAACCTACAGGTTTTCTTAGACTTTACTAAGAGCAAACTTGATAGCACATAAAATATTTTATACTAGAGGCCCGGTGCGAATCCATGCACCACCAGTGGGGTCCTTTGGCTTGGCCTGTGGGGATCAGGCTGAAACCGGCTCTCTGACATCCCCCGAGGGGTCCTGGATTGCGAGAGGGCGGTTCTCAGGTGATGTACCCCGGAATCGGGCTCCCTCCTCTCTGGTTCCGGGTGTGTCACCTGAGAACCTCAGCTGCCAATTCACTGCAGCTCAGCAGCTCCTGCATTGAGCATCTGCCCCCTGGTGGTCATTGTGCATCATAGCTACCGATCAGATGGTCACTTAGGCTTTTATATATATAGAATATAGATAAAGATAAAATAATGAGATACTTACAGAATTAATGGACCCCTTTAAATTAAAATAATATAAAATAATAAAATATCTCCAAAATAAAAATAATGTTCAGGAAGTAAGTACTTACTCTCAATGATTCCTGGAAGGAGGAGGCCTGATACTGTGCATATTTAGCAATTGTAGTATGAGATCGATTACTTTCACAATGCCAGATTTTCTTCGTTCCAGTGGGATCCCAGTTTTCATCTGCTGGCTGCAACAACTGTGTCCTCACTTCTACCATGTGTTCATTGTTAGCTTCCACCAAAGTTTTGGTAGAGAAAAGTCCCAGGTCTTCATAAATAAATAAATGTAGTTAATAAACAAAAATTATATTTGGAATAACATTTTTAAAGTGCTTTTTTAAAAGGGGAGGGGTGGGGAGAGGAGGGAAAACGTTTTATGGTGCTCCATTCAGTTCTCCTACAATCCAACTGGGGCCTCTGCACATCCTGAATTTCCTGTTAGGTTTCCACAACCATACACTGAAGCTCTGGAACTATTCGTCATGCCACCAACGGGGGGGGGGGGGCGCACAATCGAGGGACCAGGTACTAAAGTTTCACTTATTTATTTAATTTCTGCAGGAACTACTTAGGGGGCAATAGTACTTATTAGTAGTCTCAAATCTTACCTAAATTTTTATTAAAAATTTATTTTATTAGTCAACCTAAATCATAATTATATATAGTTTCACCAAAATAAAAGTTAAATTAAAAAAGCACCAGTAAATTGGCAGTAACTACCATCTTCGTATCTTCACATTGATTAAAGAGATAATACTGATAACACACACACACACAGCCTTACAGCTAGGAAACTATTAAGATAAAAATGTGGGGGTGGGGGGGAGGGAAGAGAAAAAATAAACAGAAACAAGTTTCTGCCTGTGCTTCAAAAGTTAGCAGACAGTAAAGAACATATACAAACTTTTCCTTTTTCTTATTAAAGCTTACCCAACTTAAGAGCTCCAGCAAGGCCACGTATTACTGTAACAGGGTTGTTTGGATTTGTACAAAATTGATGTAATGGAGGAAAGAAAGCATCGCGTTTATTTTCCAACTGTAAAATTAAAACATACAGTTAAATCTCTGGAAAACAGACCTTTAATTTAAATGTTATGCCAAATTCATATCTATTATTTATTGCGATTTAATAATGCATCCCATCTGTCATTATTTGTATTTTACAGTATTTTATCACTATGTCTTTTGAGCTTCACTGTAATTAGATATAAGCACACATATCTCTCTTTTTCATTATATCCTGAACAAAATATGTGGGAGAAATAAAATTTAAATTCCAAAATCAGACTGTTTTAAATATTATTCAGCCTTAAGAAGGAAGAAAATCTTGTTAATATGCTGCAACATGGATGAAACTTGAGGACACTATGTTAAGTGAAAATAAACAAGTCACACACACACAAAATTTGTATACAATTTCCCTTATATAAGGTTTCTAAAGTAGTCAAATTCATAGAAACAGAAAGTAAAGTGGTTGTTACCCGTGGCTGGGGAGACTGTGGAAAAGGGAGTGCATTTTAATAGGTATAGAATTTCAGTTTGGCAAGATGAAAAAGTTATGTAGAGCTGTTTTTCAACAATAAGAATACACTTAAAACTACTAATTGTGCACATAAAAATGGTGATGATAAACTTTATGTAGATCGCTTTTTAATCACAAACAGAAAAAGAAAAAAAAATCAATTAAAAAAACATACTACCAAAATGAAAGTAGGCTGAAGAAGAAGACCCATAAAAGATAAATCTTAATCTTGCATTTCCCCCGCTCCTCAGACCTCAGTTTAAAAGTTTTGTTACAGTTCTATCCCAGTGCTTCCCTTACATACCAAAGGATCAATAGAAACTGGTTTAGGGAAGGATCAATATAACATTTGGCCTCTAGAGGGCGAAAACAGAACCAAATCTCTAAAAACAAACTTTATAGTTTAAAATATTTTCATTTGGGGTAGAAGTGGGAGTATGGAAGGAAGGAAATGGGGTAGGAGGACCTACTTGGGAAAAACATAAAAAAAGAGTTGCTTTGATTGAACTCCTAATTTCCTAGTTCATCATAAAGTAAAACTAATATCCAGTTTTAAATAATCTATTCAGCTTTTTAGTGACATATCTATTACCACATTTTATGTTCTCAAACACTTTTTTTTAAGGTAAATGATAGTGTTTGTTTTTTTAGCCAATGTATAAAACACCTAGTAGAGTGCAGATTTAAAATCCAGCTTACTCCAAAAAATGTTATACTTTTAGGTAGTTTTTGCCTAATATTGCTCAAAGTTGGGGGCATTTACAAAGTATTCCTGTAAAGTACTACTCTAATGTAATCAGTTAATAGCTGAGAAGTTATGTTTTACATGCTATAACAAAATCTTCTTGAAAACATCTTTATCCCCCCCACCCCCCCCCAAAAAAAACATTCAAGCTGCTGCCAATAATTTTAATGTTTCCTAGAAGGCATCCACATTGATTTAAAGCAAGATCTCATGAAAAACAGATAGATGTAAACACTAGTTCGATTTATTTCTAGTCAGTCAATTCAGACTCACATAAATACTAGGTGTAGGAGGATTCAACTTGTCCTTTGGCAAGGGCGGGTATGGTGAAGATGGTGGTCTTGGAGGCGGACATTTATCCAATAAAATGCTACTGTTAGATAAGCCATTTTTACCTAGATTCCTTAAAAAATGGAGAAAAAAACAGCTGTACATTTATTTAGGAAACAGAATTTTAAAATCCTGAATTAAATCCTAATCAATTGACTGGGCAGTTGCACAGATCCATGAGATTTGGATCAGTAAAAAACTAAGAACAATTATTAATTTCAGCAAATACTTAGCTTGATTTCTCTATCTTCCACTGAAGAAAAGTAATAGAAAAGATACGGTAACACATAAATTACTGATGACATTCCTAATTTTGCTTGAATTTTCTGATTTATTTTTCCACCCAAAGAACAGAAATTCCAATTCTCTCTCCACCAAAAAAGGTGCAGATAATAGTAAAAATAGATTATGTCTCTCTCTTTATCATATCAGCAATTATAACTAAGAAATCATAGTGACAATTCTCAAACCTGAAAAGACCTTTCTTTTCTTTCCTCAAATCTGAAAAGAATATTCTGTGTAACCCCTTGACTAATAAAATTTAGCAAGATTCTAGTCTACTAAATTTTGTAGCAAATGATACCAATTTTTAAAATGAGATGTATAGCTGCAATCTATTCTGATACTCTATAATTATTACTTACTAGTAACTGGGGTTCATTTTCCATTATAAATTCTTAATGGATGGTAGAATTACTTCCAAACTGTGATCGTTTTAATGTAAGAAAAAAGTATTTCCAATTTTTCAAAGCCCTTACCCAACTCAGAAAATCAGCAAGACATAATTTTGAGCTTTCAAATCATTCCAGGTTAACTAACCTTCCTCACCTAATTAATGTAAGTTCAAAAATAACCAATGCATTAAAATACCAAGTACTCCTAAATTAACATATTAAAATTCCAGATAAGAATTTGAAAATTGTAATTATGACAGGAAGTTAAAAACTTAGTAACTTTACTTATTGAAAACTGGCATTTTTTCATCAAAAATTACAGAAAACATTTTGCTATGATTTTGCCAAAATGGGAAAACCTTACAAATCAGCCTGTTTTGATTGGTACCAAAGGAAACAAAGGCTTAAAATTCCACTGCTACCACCTTTTGAAATGCTACACATTAAATAGCATTTCAAAATGGGTGTCACTTTCTTAATTTCTCAACTCCAACACCAAGTAAAAATAAGAGTTCATGGCAGGTCTCAAAGAAATGAATTAAGTTTATAATAACTGAATTTTTTAAGAAGTATGTGAGTTAGTTATTAAAGTGAAGTTTTAAGTTCAAGTAACAATTAAGGTCCTCAGCTAAAATAAATGAATCTTCTTATTCAATACCAGTTTTCCACAAAGCATGAATGTCCTGTACATTTAAAAATAGACATGATACATTTAAACTTTTAAATTTAGGTATAAAACTGGAATTAACTTATAAACTCCATAGAAGTAAAAACTAATTGGCTGAGACTGGTATAAAAAAAAAAAAAAAAAAAAAGGAAAAGGAAAAGAAAAGAAAAGAAAAAAAACCCCACAACAATTCAAGTATTATTAAATCAATACAAAATAAAACAGTCACTTACAATATCCACATAGATCATTACACTTTTCATGCTGAATTGTGCATCTGCCACTATTTAACTTTGGAATTTAAACAACAATGACTCCAAATATCTAAAATTTGTTGTACCGAGCAAAAGATGGATGTAAGGTATAGCAAATGATTAATATTTTAAGGAATTGGAAGATAATGAACCAGGTATTAAAACTGTTCCATAAAAGAGCATCTCACGCTAATTAAATGTGACAAAACTTAAGCTTCTACAACATTCTGGATGTTGAGAGATGAGAGTAGAAAACAGGGTTTGTTAGATTAGTAGAATTCTGCCTCCATAATGTCTACAGTTGTATAACAATTAAAAGAAAATAGGTAAATGGGAAAGTAAAACAATGAAAAGTGCAGAAGCCTTTATTTTAAAACTAGTGGCCCAGTGCACGAAATTTGTGCACATTAAAAGGTAATTAATTAGAGGAAATATTTTAATATTGCTATTTGCCCTTTCTCTATAATAGAAAGTGTCAGAGATTAAAGAAAATTAATAAAATGTATATGAAAATCTCCCTCGTCAGAGTCTGGGGTGGGCCGCGGGACCCAGAGTCAAGTCCCCATCCACCCACGCGTGCCTCGAAATCGTGCGAGACCCAAACCTGGCCGGCCCCACCCCCCAAGCCCCATGGGGCAGGGGGCGCAACCTCAGGTCCCCCGGCCTGGCGCAGGGCAGGGAGTGCAGCCTCAGGTCCCCCGTCAAACCCCGCCGGGTGTGTGTGTGGGGGGGGGGGGGGGGGCACGGCCTCAGGTCCCCCGGCCCTGGGGTGGAGGGCGCGAGGGTGTGACGACCATTTGCATATTAGCTCTTTATTACATAGGATAGAAAAGGGTGAGGAAGCATAACTAAGAGAGCTGAATATGATTTAACAATTGAATGATACAATTGCATTTTAAACCATAAAAGCAGCAAAGGTATTGTAACTGCCTCTGGATGCATCACACTGATCACTACAACACTAAGATAAACCAAACAAGAGTCAGATTAAAAATAACCAACATTTTAAAAACTAAATATGTGAAAATAAGAAGGAAGTTAGAATAAACCATGCAATCAAATTATATCTAGCAGTTTCTTATTGTATGTCAAACATTGACTCCCTGACTACTGAGGTCAAGTCTAAAACAAACAGAGGAACCGATGCAACTGTCAGTATATAGACTAGTAAGGTTTTTCTACTTAAAATACACTTATCAATCCTAATGCAAAAGACAGAGCTGTGGATAATGAATACATTTAATCTTCTGAACATTTAAGTATCCAATGCTGTTTATAATAAAATAGAGCCCTGGTGCATGGATTTGGGCACACTGAAAGGAAATTAATTAGAAGGTGGTTGGCAGGGTGGGACTGGATGAGACAGGCCAGACATACCCTAGAGCCAACCTCCCAAGGTCTCTCCCCTGTTTGCCGCACCTGGGGTGGCGCCATGGCTGGAAAGGCATCTGTGAAGTGAGTGGGGTCCCTCAGCCTGGCCTGCGGGGATCGGGCCAAAACCGGCTCTCCGACATCCCCCAAGGGATTCTGGAGTGCAAGAGGACACTCTGCAAAGTTGCTGTCGTACAGGGTATGGAATGCAAATGCAACTGTGCAGTAAACTAGATTTGGGGCCGACAGTGCCACAGCAACAACATAACACACGGCCAAAGGTGGAATCGCACGGCCACATGAAGAATTGGGCTCCTTTCTCTCTGGTTTCAGGGTGCATCACCCAAGAACTGCTGCTGCCAAGTCACTGCAGCTCAGCAGCTCCCACATTGTCTGCCCCCTGGTGGTCAGTACACATCATAATGACCGTGGGATGGAGGGAGGGACACTTAGCATATTAGCCTTGTATATACACAGAAGATACTTCAAGCCAAATAATGAAACTTTACTATAGCAATCCAAAGTAGAGAAAGGAATTAAAGTCAACTATCCCATTTTAAGTTCTTTTCTCCCATGTTGAAACTCTTTCCTTAAGCAAAGTTGAGTATGAGGAAATTACTCATAACCCAATTATTTAAAATACTGGCTTAAACTTACTTTTTAATTTTCCCACATCATTTGATAGAGAAACGAAAAAGTGCTCTGTACGTAAACCAATCTAGACTTTCATTATCTTGGATTATGAAGCTCCTAGACCAGAGACATTGAGATGGCAGCTATGTCACTTACCCCTTCTGAGTTCTAGACTCCTGCCAAATGCAGAACACCATAAATAGAACAGAAATGGCAAGCAACACAACATCTATCATTTGCAGTCTTGACTTTTATTCTAAACCTCAGAAGATTTTTATCTCCATATTATCAGAGCATTTTTTTTGTTTGTTTGTTTCTTCATTCATAAACTGAGGCCTAGATTTATTGAAATAACCCAAGCAACCACAGGGGCCTATAGTGTTTAATGTTTCTAGCTACTTATTATATACAGGGATTGGCAGAAGTATGTTTATGGTTGCAAGATTCTTTTGAGTTAATAAAGTTATTGTGTAATAATCATGGCCTGTATGTCTTTTTCCATATGAACAACTGTAAAACTACTTTTGCCCAACTCTGTATATATGTCTCTGTAATAAGGCAAACTTGTCTTTAAGAGTTAAAAGCTGAATATAAACTGTAAGAATGTACTTAAGAATTGTGAAGTGGATGTTTATATATACCTCAAAACTAAGATGGAAGATTATAATCGTTTATTAAGAAACACAATCACACCTAATAAAGCACAAGACTTTATTAGTAAAAATTATGGTAACTGCTACTGTACTCTCTTTATAACTTGCACCTTTA